AAAAAAAAGAATGTCGACTTTTAAACTCTACGAAACAGCATATTTCTGACGCTTGAATAATTATTGTTGTTGGAACTGATTCATTGCTCAGCTTTATCATTTATGTTTTTGTTTTATTTTTGTACATACAGTGTGAAACGATTGTGAAATTATCATACTAATGTTTAAAAGAAGATTTTTTTGTCTATTGTTGATTTTTTTGTTTATTATCTTGTTATTCATCTGTCCTGTTGGAGAGATCCCAAAATCCTGATTATAAAAAAGAAAGCCGTTTTTCAGCTCTTTATCAAACCAAAGTTTACCTAGCAAACTATTATGTGGCAACACAGTAAATGGATGTAGCCACTATGGAGCTCACAATGGTTTGTTAACTTCCATTTGTATTTGGACCTGTGCCATCAGTTTTTATTTATTTTTCATTTTTTTAGGAGATGCAGTGAGCAAGTGGTTCTGACTAAGAGGCAAGGACACTGCAGTTCATATCATGAGGTAGCCTGGAGGATACTCTGCCTCAATTCTCTATTTATCTCTATTTGGAACCCCAATTTCAAGTTATTGTGTAACTAACTGTGTAAAATGTAAATAAAAACAGAATACAATGATCTGCAAATCTCATAAATCATCATTTTTTTCCACAGAAGAGCATCAAATCATTAAACTGAGAAAAAGTACAATTGTAAGAAACTCAGGTCTGTAAAGTATCAGTGCTCTTTTCATCAAATTCAAAATGAGCTAATATTTTCTGACTATAAATATAAATAAATATTGATATATTTTTATCTTCTACTGTGAATAAAATATGGGTTTATGAAATTTGCAAATCAAATCAAAAAAGTGTTTGACGCCATAAATTCAGTGAGCTATAGGATCATTTTCTGTTACATACATTATATACAACTGGGCTTCTTTTGCATCCCCCTGCTGGCCGTTAGAAAGAATGCAAATGTAGGACACATCTGCACTGGTTTCTCTTTTGAGACGCAGAAGCTAAATCCATCTTTTAAATACAGTCTGTTTGGCATAATAGCTAAATTATGACCACTGCTAATAGTAAATGTCATCTAGAGCCTGTAGGGTGATATTAGTATCAATGTTCAGCCCATGTAGCTGTAAAGTATTCATACTTTTTTTGTACTGCACACTGAGATAACCGTGTATTAATGAGTCAGCAATAATTTTAAATTGCAACTTCTTTATATTCTACAATGCATTGTCATTAAAACGATCAAAAGCTTTATGTGAATACTTGTAATCAAACCACAACCAAAAGCTGCCAGTGGAAAGAAATATTGGCATTTGATATGTGGGGAAAAAGTGTGAAATACGTATTTGTGCTTTAGTACATCTGCAGTGTGAGCATATAGCACAGTGGTGTGCTGTAAATGCTGTGTATGAGCACACAGTATGGAATTGGGACACAGCTTTGATTAATCTCAGGCTGCCATCCACTAATAGCAGCCCTCAGTAGGGAGGTCTGAGAGCAGCTGCACAGTTGTTGACACTGGGCCCTTAGCCTCCACTTTCAAACTGAGACAATATTTCAGCTGCTGTAGAGAACATCCGCACGGTGTGAGTCACAGACAATGACCGCAGGCCAGACAGTCTGTGAAACAGCCAAACGCTGGGCTCCTTAAACAAAAGTTGCTTTCAGTTTGCTCCGGTCTATCTGCCCTTTGCCCTCACTGTGCTCCACCTGTCTCTTGGCTTTGTACATGGAGGGCAGCTCTGAAGTCTGGTACACTGCTGACCTCGTCCTGCTGCCTCGGCACCGCAGCTCTGAAGCCACACCTTCCCATTTCCTGTCTAGCTCTGAACCGTGATGGCCTCGCAGGTCAAGGGACCCTCTGCAGGTTGGCCTGGTGTCTTCTGCGTCACAGCTGTGCTCAATTTTGTCCAAATCCAAGGCTCGTTTTGGAGTTTTGTGGTTAGAACGAGAGGAAGGCGATTTGGATTTGCGACGTGAACGAAGAGGTGGTCTCGGTGGAGGCGGAGGTGGAAGAGGAGGTGATGGAGCGATGGGTGGGTTGGAAGTTGTCCTTCTGTTGGGCATTTTAAAATCCCCTCCACCTCTTTCCCTTCCTCTTCCCCTATGTCTGTCTTTACCTGAGGAGGAAGAGGCTGCTTTTAAAAGACAAATGGATAGAGGGAGAGATGGAGGAGAAATGGCCAAGCACTCACTGCCACTGCAAACACTCCACGTGCAGGAAACACTCAGAGGAAACTCATAAAAGCAAAATGCCACGAGTTTCTTGGAAAGAGTGCGCAGCAGAGAGAAGGCGAGAGAGATAGAGAGAGCTGGGAGGCAACAGGAAACAAAGTGAATGTGACAGATATTCCCATGCTGGCTGTTGGCTATGACATCATGGGAGAGATGGTTAGATGGCAAATACTCTGTGTGCATCTTTGTGAGTGTAAAGACCCCGACTTTAATGCAGGCTGCTGCCATCTACTGGCCACGAGAAGGAGGGACACACGTTCTCATTTGTTAAAGGTGGCTAATTTGATGAGTCGAACTTTGTGTTTAGCACCAGTTAGCAAAAAAAAGAATATCTAAAGACAAGCATGGCAAGTTTAAAAACTTGCTTTTGAGTCTTTAGGATTCATTTTACAACAAAAGCAGGCTGCACCTCTTTGCAACTCCACACCACCCCTTGATTTTTTTTTAAGTCAAATTACTTGAAGCATTTGATCCAGCTTCAAACATCAGCCGAGGAAACTTTTTTCACGTTGTACTCAAGAGTTTGCCGACACAGCTGATTTCACTTATTGCCCGATTAGACCCGTTCTCAGTCCCATGTGATTCATGTGACAGCCCACTCCCTCTGCTGTCAGCTTCTCTGTACTCGTTAGGGAAAAACTGCACCTTTGCCATTTTACTCCTATATGCAGCTGTGATGTATAATTCTCAAGAGCGCTGGCTGAATTAAACCTGAATAGAGTCTAATCAGTGAGAGTGACTGAAAATAGCTGTGTGAAAGACCTTGATTGATTGTGGGCTGTTTTGAATACTATTCTACTGAATTACTTATTAATACCGTAATAAAGCAAATACATGAAACACTCCAGGACTCGGGAGCTCTGTAACTAGGACCAAGACCTGCATTAATATAGCAGAGTCCTTGTTGTCCCAGCTCTATAAAAAAACACCTGTTTTTCTCTCTTCATCTCGCTTCCAGTCTAGATTTATTTACCTTTATTTAAACTGAAAATCCCACTGAGATCCAGTTTCCCTTACAGGGGAGACCTGACCAAGGTAGCAGCCATACAAAACTCAACAAATGCAACAAAAACAACATAAAATGAAGGTTTTGCAACATAATATACAACAAAAACACTACTGGGACTCTGAGAAAAATGTCTGTGTGTCCTTCACCGTGTTCCTTAAGATGCTTTTAAATTCAGGCCTAGATATCAGTGTGTTTAAGATGATTATATTCATTTGAGAAGCGGAATGAGGAGCAAATATTTTGCCATATGGACATGGACCCAGCATGAGCCGTTGAATTTAAACACGTTATTCATATACTAGCTTCTGTAACCAAACATTTTCCAGTTAGCATGACAAAAGAGGACTCACCGGTTCCTGTGCTATGAAAACAAGAATTACAGCCACAGATTGGTTTGCTCAGAGAACTAGATTATCCCCATGTTCACAGACACAGATGCTTGTTTTTATCCCTTTCATCAACGTCTACTCTATCAGCAGAGGCCTCTGGTAACTACTTTAGAAAACCAGAACTCCTCTGCCTCATACGTCTCACTTGGACGGTAACTTGATTTAGAGTGGGCATAAAGTGAAACAGGCAATTGCAGTTCATCTCTCTGTTTCAATATAGACATGTTTTTCTAAATTACCGTGACTGGTTAAATAAAAATCAGTCTCTGCTGTCGTCACATGTTAACCCCGGAGGAAACGCGAACACCGCGAACAACAATGGAGAATTATTCTAACGATAACCACGACAGAATAAGATCCTCATGTGATGTGAGAGATGCACAGATATAGACGATCTTTCTAAGTAAGCGCATGCATGTGTGAAGTGTGTAAAATAAGCATCGGTGTGTGAGTGTGTGTGTACGAGGATGAGGAAGAAACAGGACCTGGTTTTGTTTGGTGACTACCAAATAGCCCAGCATGATAAAGCTTGCTTAACAAGGCATTGAGCAGAGGGGAACCCATGCATAGCTAATAACCCAGTCCTCCAAAAATCCTTTGTACCCCAAAACAAAAGCCCTGTCCTTTTACACACACACACACACACACACACACACACACACACGGCAACAGAGAGAGGAGAGGAATATCAAGTACGATAGATAGGAGAGAAATTATACAGATGGAG